TATTTTGCCAGGATTAGGAAACCCACCTCGCCCCCAGCCCCCCCGAGGCTTCCCACCCCTCTCGCAGGGCGTGGGTCGGGCTCAGGGAGCTCCAGACACAATGGAATTAAAAAAAAAAATAAGAAGGGCGAAGGAATTCGGCGAGCGATGTTCCAACACGATCCCGCTATCGGCCCCGCTATCTCGGGTGCGCGTGGTATGCGCAGGTCAGGGAGCGACTCACGGCAGCGGCTGCGGGAGAGGATGCTCCGTCGGCTCCTCGGGATCTGAAACGCGCGGGGATGGAGGGACCCGAGATGAGGAATGGGCTGCAGAAGGCAATGCATGGCCGTGCTGCAGCCCTGCGGTGGGGGAGCGCAGCAGCCGCATCCCAGGGTAACCCAGCAGCGCTCCCCGGCCAAGCCTTTTGGGGCTGTGCACCACGGGGAGCGAGGTTTGACCATGAGGAGCATGGCCAAAAGCACTCCTGGGAGCCCCAAACCTGGCGCCCAAAAGAGGGGGAGAGATGCTGGGTGTGCCCTTGGCAGACCACGTTTTGTGCCTGTGCCCGCCGCGAGGAAGCGGGAGCAGCAGCTGCCCCTGCCTGGCACAGCCGTGAGGGGTGGTGAAAATGGGGTCTCCCCATCCAGGTCCCGCTGCTCTGCTTCCCACATTTGATTCCCAGCAATGATTCCCAAGCCCGATGCTCAGCTGCTTCCTCCTCTTCCTCCCAGCTCGCTCCCCATACCCAGCACCAAATAATGGCCTCGCTGGATTTGCAGCTTTCTTTTTGTATGGGAGGGATCTCCAGCACTGGTGTGGTCAGGACCCGGGTACCCAGACAGGCAGGGAGGACTCGCTAGAGGAGATTAAACCAACCCTGCAGTGCCAGGGCTGGCGCAGCCGTGCCCAAGAGCGGCTGTGATCCCGCCGCAGTTATTTTAGGGATGTGCACACCGGGGAAGGGAGAGGAGTCCTCTGGGGGTGAGCCAGGGGGTTTTAATTAGCAGTAATGGCGTGGTAATAAAGGTGGAGGAGCGCAGGCCAGAGCACACACAGCCTTTCTGTGCCATGTCTGCATGGGGGCAGTCCCAGACCTGGCCATTGCTGGGGGTCCAGTGCTTATGGGGGTGATGGGGGTCCCCTACATCCACCCCCAGGGTCACTGCCCAGCCTGCACGTGCGCCTCGGGCACCGGCGGACGCTCTCCTCTTGGGCATCAGTGATGCACTGGACATCTTCAAGCCCAGCTCCTCGTAAATGAGCCACAAAGCAGCTCCTGGGAGGAATTTCCAGCTCAGCGAGAAGCTCTGCAGGCCGGCGATTAAAAAGCGGTTATTAAAACAAAATTAGAAAGAAAAAACAACAAAATAAACCAAACCAAACCAAACCCCAACCCCACAAAGCAGCCCTGCAGTCGGCGCGTCTTCCAGGATCTGTCGTAACAGATTCGCCCGAGCCGGTTAACGGTATTTGCGGTTTGCAAGATGCTACACGTCCGGGGAAGATGACAGACACGTTATTATCACCTCTCGGCTGCGATCTGCCCCAACCTGTCCCAGGATGCGGCTCCGCAGCTGCTTGCCGGGGAGCGCGAGGAAATTAGCAGCTGCAGGCAGCGCTTTTCTTCTCTCCCC